TGCAACTTAAATTTAAGTACCAACTTAAAATTTACCTCTATTCATAGGCGCATTTCAGACTTCTACTAAGTAGTTTCGACTTAGTTTACGATATAGCAAAATGAGTGTGAAAACGTATCGATTTTTCTCTACGATATTTTGGAAAAATTACATTTTTATTAAATCATGTCAAGTTTGATCATCCGTTTATGTAATTTTTATTTTCATTGCATGATTATGCAAAAGAATAAGGTATCATTTTCTTGTTAATTGTGTGAAATAGCCAGAACAGCCGCAGTGATGTGAAGTCGATGTTTATCGAAAGCATGGTGTGAAACATACAAATAGTAGATATCTAAATGTTATGCACAAATTTACTTTAAAAGAACTAGCGTGAAACTGACTTATTATTTGAGAATTTATCTAAATTATTCCAATTATAAATTGGTGATATAGCTTTATTCGAATTGTAATACGTATTTAATTTCTTCTTCCGAATAAAATGGATCGATCTTTGTAAATTTTAATAGGAGATTATTCAATATTATCAAAATCACCCTCTACCAACTTAATTTTTACATATTTCGTCTGTTTTCCCTTAATTTGATAAAATACTTCTTCCTAGTTACGACTTAGTTGCAGCTGCAGCCGAAAGTAAATTTTAAGTTGGTACTTAGCCAGAAAAGTCGAAACTAAGGCGACTATGAATAGCTTTAAACTATGTTCCCATTAGCGTAATTTAGAGGTCAATCTTAATTTACGCATAAATTAAGTACAAACTAAGTAATTTCGCCTTGTAAAGTCTCTCAGTAAATTAAGTTGAAAGTACGTAGTTTATCTTAAACCAAGAACCAAGTCACGAACAAATCAGTGTCGGCTCTAATTTTATCGATAATAATCGAAAAAAGTATTGTCCCATAACTGATATGTTATTGTGTTTGGACGGTTTTGTTTTTAATAATCGCGCGTGGTAGTTTGTAAAGTATTTCCAGAAGCTTTCTCTTTTGATCACTCATCTAAAATCTAAAAAATTACCACAAACGACTCAGGATATAAAAATATACGCAATTACTCACATTCGCGATCTCTTTTGGTTAAATAAACAATAACACAGGGTTGCTACAAAGCTGTCAGGGGGTCAAGGCTCTTGATATTGCTTCATACGTGTTGTAATGTTCTGAGTCAGGAGCGGATGGCTCAAGACCGACCATACGTGGCGACGAGTCACACCCTGCGAGAGGTGCCCCTGCTTTTACTGAATATGGCGGATCTAGAGAG